TAGGGCTTATTGGCACTTTGTTGTCCACTTGGCCTATGAGTAAGAGATTTTAGGTGAAGGATATGTTTTCTTAAAGATTTGTGGATGCAATTGTGCAGGGAGATGCAACTGTGACGATCCCGAATTTCATCAATGAATGTGGAGCTTCTCTCTTGGTCACTGATTTCTCTCCCTTACGGGAGATTAGGCGATGCAAAGACGAGATTGGCAAGACAACAAGTGATTCGTTAACAATACACGAAGTTGATGCCCACAATGTAGTTCCCATTTGGGCTGCATCAGATAAATTAGAGTACAGTGCTCGAACACTACGAGGTAGGATTAACAAACTACTACCTGATTACCTCATTGAGTTTCCTGAACTTCAACCACCGACCAAAGAGTGGACTTGGTCTATGGATGAGGCAATCGACTGGGATAGCCTCATCAATAACGTTGTAAGGTTAGATGCTGATTGAGTTGCTTAATACCATTTCCCAGGCTTGGATTTGAACCTTTTTTTTATTATGATCTGATGATAGGAAAGGTGCAGAAGTTCCTGAAATCGATTGGTGTGAGCCTGGGGAAGATGGAGCTAGAGAAGTTTTGATGGGTGGTCAAGATGGGTTTTTGATGAAAAGGTTGAAGAGTTACTCGACTGATCGGAATAATCCTTTAAAACCGAAAGCTCTCTCTTGTCTTTCCCCGTATCTGCATTTCGGGCAGATCTCAGCTCAGCGCTGTGCCTTAGAGGCTCGAAAAGTCAGGAAAACATACCCTCAGGTTAATATTAATCTTTGATCATATCGACAAAATTTGCATATTCGTGTAGTTTTTTTCTTTTCCTTCCTCTAGTTTCTACTAATACGTGTTTACTTTTTTGAAGGCGGTTGATTCATTCTTGGAAGAATTGATCGTACGTAGAGAACTGGCAGACAATTTCTGCTACTATCAGCCTCATTACGATTCTTTGAAGGGAGCTTGGGAATGGGCACGCAAGACATTAATGGACCATGCTTCAGACAAGAGAGATCACATTTACTCGTAATGTTTCAGCCACTTCGTCCACAGTTTTCTTTCGATATACAAACTTTGTTGTAATTCTGTACGTAAAGGGTATTGAAATTGCAGGTTGGAGCAGTTAGAGAAAGGACAGACTGCAGACCCAGTAAGGCTGCAAATTTCAAATCGTTTTTATTCAAAATTTCCTATACATTTGGGTTTTTTTACATACATTTGAATCTAATTTTGTAGATTAATTTGCTGTATCACTTTCGTATATGATGATTAACCATAAAGTTCTTGTGTGTTTTGCAGCTATGGAATGCTTCACAGTTGGAGATGGTTCATCACGGGAAAATGCACGGTTTCATGAGGCGAGTAAACCATCTTGGAGCTTCCTCTGAAACATTTATTTATCAATGGCAGAGCTTGCTTACAATATATATACACACGTGTAGGATGTACTGGGCGAAGAAGATTTTGGAGTGGACAAGGGGACCTGAAGAAGCCCTCTCCATATCCATCTATCTAAACGACAAGGTTTCCTTCTGTGGATTTCATTCATTCTAACACCTCTTCTTGATCGGTGTTTTTTTCTCATTTGATCAGTTTAGATCTGTATGTATCGTGCAGTATGAGATTGACGGTCGGGACCCCGGTGGATACGTAGGCTGCATGTGGTCGATATGTGGTGTTCATGATCAGGTCAGTCACATTTCCAGCTTTAGAAACCAATAGTCACTATCCCTTTTTATGCCCTCTGGTTTCCATCGTTCATTCATATACGCGATCGGCGTTTTGCGTTTGCGTTTGGGGACATAGGGATGGAAAGAGAGGCCGGTGTTTGGGAAGATAAGGTACATGAACTATGCAGGCTGCAAGAGGAAATTCGACGTCAATGGATATATCTCTTACGTTACACGTCTTGTTTCATCGACTAATAAGAAGAGGAAGAGGAAAGCTGAAGAACACCTCTCCGAGGATTCCATTTGATTTTCTTATTTAAGTCTTAATTGTTAAGTAATTTCACAATGTTAACCCCCATTTAAAAAAAAACGATTTTTTTTGCAAAACATAAAAATTGCCATTAACGAAAATCACCCAATATATATATATAAACATTAAAGGCTTTAGAAACATTAACAACATTGGGTTTTTGTTTTTTGTTGTGAGAGTTTATGAATTGGTTGTTCCATCAAAAGCCGATGAAACGTTTTACAGAAGGTGAAGCAGCTTTTACATTATCCTACCAGCCAAAGAATTAAGGTACAGTTTGCTTTTAATCCCCCGTTGCCTTTTTTGTTTCTCCTTTTTTCTTCTCTCAACTGTTTTTTTGTTGTTACAAATTTAGACATTGAAGTGAAGAGGCTTCAGATTTGGAGATCGTCTAGAGATAACTCATTTGCTGTCAGAAGCTTCAGTTTCTGTTCAAATACAACGACACAAAATCCATTAGTAAAAAGCTCTTGAGCGGATAGTTGGAATGAACTTTGTCCAAAGAATCCGACTCCGATACGAGAAACTTACCGTTATGAACTGCGGTGGATCATCGAGGCTCGATGACCCGAGAACTACTTCTCTCCTTAGTTTCCCCGTCAGCTTGTGACAGACCCTTAGCTGAAACCAATATTCCAGAAACTTCCTCATGTTAGCTACAAAAAGTATATAACTGTAACTAACAAGTAAGATCCTAACTAAGATTGGCGATTTGGATCACATTCTCGCAATTTATTGTCCGAACTTTTAAGATTTCATCTATAAGTTTTGTCTTAAATAAAAGCTTCGTACCTCAGATCTGGTGGCTCCACCTACGATGAACACAAATATACGTTGACCCATCTTCTTGAAGTCGCTTGATGCATGTCTCAGCACCGAATCACTACACGAGGGGAAGAGATTATTACACAAACATTAGAATTATGTTTTTAACCGTTTTGAAATGATTTCTGAAAAAGAAGCAGATAATACAATGAACAATTGGATACATCAGTTGCAGCGTTTAAAGCTTCAATAACTTTATTTATAAAAAAAAAGCATACTTGGAGAAAGCTTAAGACTTGTGAAAATACCATCATTTGCTTAGACATAAGATTACCTTGAATATCCGTCATCTGAACTCCGAGGCTTAGCCCATGTGGGTGTCCGTTTCGATCTCATGGACTGAGCAGCTTGACCTGTGTGGTTACTTCCTGATGATGAATGAGATGTTGTTCCGTGGAAGCTCGGGCTTGGGTCGTTCATGCATGGATAATCCTCCTTCGGCAATTCTCCCTTGTTAAGTTTCTCAACGAGTTCCTGTCAATCCAAAAGATGGTAACAGTCATATCTCACCCGATTCATGAACTCTTTGAAACGCTGAAAGCGGCAGTTCTTGACATCCGGACATCACAATTGGTTGGTGATCATAACGTCTGAAGAAAGCTAGATCTCGACTGAAAACATATCCTGCTTGCCATGCTTGTTGGAAAATGTCCCACAAAGGGCCTAACATGAATACTACAATACCTCGATCATGGGGTAAAAACGAGACAGTTGCCACGTTTCTTCTTCTTGGCGCTCTTTCCTGGCAGCTCTTTTCTTCTGCAAATATTATCAGAGACTGTGAGGAGAGTATACAGATTTCGAGATACATATCAAAATTTTGGGAAGTGGATTTACCTTGTGAAGATCAAACTTCAGAGTGAAAGCTCCTGTGGGGTTCTTTTTGGTGTCCATGGCTGAACCAAGCAATCTCATATTATTTACAGCGGTCATGTCATCGGCTGATAGTTTTGCCAACTAGAAACAAAATCAAATAAAACATTTGGTTGAGTGAACAAGGCCAGAAAAAAAAGATGCATTAGAGTTAATGATAATCCAAGTACCTTCATCAGATTTTGACCCTTTTCACCCTCAAATTTCTCAGGGTAAATTGATGCCAGAATCATTAACAGACGCAACTTATTTTCCCGGCTTGCATCCTGCACAAGAAGTTTGATGCATTTAAAGTTCAACAGCGGAATATTTTCATGGGAAAAAAAAACCTAAATCAACCACCATAAACTAGATATAGACCTCATTTGTACTCAAATATTTGATTATGTCCTTCGTCCCAGCATCACCAAAAACAAGGTCCTGTTCTAGCTGTCCAAGTTCCCGAAGCCCCTGCTCTCTTATTATGTTGTTCAGTTTTCTTGCAATCTGTACCAACAAGAAAGAAAATTGAAAGAATTTGAAGATCAAAGAAAAAGCAACAGAAACAATATACTTTGGAGGTATAAAAAATAAGTTTCCACCAACACCATCTCCCATGATATACAAAGCAGACAATGCATATTTCAATTAGTAAATATGTTCAAAATTTTACCTAATGATGGAGATAAGGAAGGATCGAGGATATAAACATGGCAGCGCGGAAATTGACAATTATGGGTGCACACACAACTAGTGTAGATCACATAATTATGAAACTAACCTCCACATGGAGAGAGAGCTTGTCGATTTGTTCACTATACTGTGGCAATGCTTGGACCATCTTTTGCAAATCCCTCGTGGAAAGCTCCCCAGCATCTCTACCCACAAAAACAAAAAAGAAGGGAACAATATAATTATGTGAATAACAGAGGCATGTCCTGCACAATCGGCAAGCAGCAGAACAAAGGAAAGCAAACAATCAAATGATCTACAGGAGGACAACATCTGACAAGAAACTTTAATACCATCTATAAATGATCTCTACTAAAGAAAACATCAGGTAGCAATATATACTCCACACAATCAATGCATATAATAAGATTTTACCGAGAAAGGTAGCACTCACCTCATACCATGTTGAATCTGAGCAGCTTTGTTTTTTGATAAAAAATTGGTCATCTTGTCATGCAACCTTTCACTAGCCTGTTGAGAATCCCAGGTAATGGAACTTGCATTAACCATTATCAAAGGAGAAAAATAAAAGGTCTATGTATCAGACTCACATCTGCTACATGTGCATGGCGAAGCTCAAGCCAAATAGGATCATGATCCTCTAAAAGCACATCTTTCTTCTCCTGTTGTCCGTCTGACTTGCTTGGAATCTAAAAACTAAAAGAACACTTAAATGGAGTATCCAGGACAAGAGGCACAAGTCAAGTCATAAGCACTTATAGAGCTCAGAGTAGTACTTACCTCATGTACATACTTGTTTCCTTCCATATTCAGTAAATCATGGCACATGGCATCATAAGTCCACTCATGTATGACAGGTGCAATCTAGGAATAGAAAACAAACAAACATCTTTAAACATATACCCAATTCAGATATAGCGACTATGAATTTGATAACTATGTGGAGGACATAGTGTTTGCTGATAAAAAGAAAAGAAAGATTCAGCAACTGCCAAAACAGCTCTATACCTGGTCTATAGATCTGTCAAGGATGAGCAACTCACACGTCTCAGTCTGAGGGAAATTTTCAATTGTTTGTTTATATTTTGCCAGACAATTCCAGATGCCAGCTGCCAGTTTCGTAGGAATTAAATCACGGAAAGTTGTCATTGTCGATGCATCAAGTGACTTTGCCGCTCTGTAACGTACTGATGGAAATTCCCGCAATGAGGCAAAGACCGTAGCAATTCGACTAGCCATCATGTTCAAGCATGCATCGCCTTTTCGAGTAGTTTCCTCATCACCAAAAAGTTCCTCCAAAGCTCTCTCATTATCGGTGACAAACCCCTGTAAAAGGTTTCTGTTATTGCATATTCCTTAGAACCCCTCACCTTTCACACATCAAAACATCCACTAGCCAATGCAGGTAACATAACATTGCAATTCAGACCCAATGTTGTCGGGGCAAATCAGTATTCTTAGAGTGCTCAAGAAGAAAGAAGAGTTTTCATTCATAATTTCGAATATCAAAATCCTTAATAGTATCAAACCAAAAAATGATACCTGGCCATCAATGGCAAAATACTCCAAATTCATCTGCAAGATGACAACAAAAATTAGTAGTTAGCAATAGGGTATTATTACAACTTTGTAATAGAGATTAACATAACTGATCTGAGGTAAGCCAGTCATCAGTCAAGAGTAAATATTAATTCAGAGAGATAAACCTCTCTCAAAGCTCCAATACGAGGTAAGACACTTGAATCTCTCTTAATATGAGCAACCAGATCTCTAGAAACAGGTGAGCTGAAGAAAACAAATGCCCTACACATGTGCAAGGAGAAAAAGGAAATCAATATTTTGAAAAAAAATAGTTGTCCACATTTCTTAATGAAAGGGAAATCTTTGCCTTACTTCTTATACAGAGGTGATTTCCCCGACATGTCTGACAAAAACATGATAACACTGATAAAAACAACAATATGACATGTTTAGCCAGAGAAACTAACATGATATGTTTCGAACACCAAACTCAAAATAAAACACCAGTACAGCGAAGATATCTTACTTCTCTTTGGTCGGTTGGATGAAGTATATGGCATCCATGGAAGGTAAAGGCTGTCGGCGTCTAAATATGTCTTCTACCACTGCAGAAAAAAATAATTGATCCCAATTAAAGCTATTCCAATTTCCAAAGCTGACAAACATTTATATTTTAAGCTTTAGAAAAGTGTACATCATTCTCACATGAAACGCCTTCTTGAGTGATATCGGCCATTTTGCAGGCATATGACATTATCTTGACAGTAAGCTTGTCCATGATAAGTACCTGCACATCATAAATTGAAATGCCAAGCAAGATAAGACTGAGAACGCAAGAGACTCCAAACTACTGACAAGAAAAAGTATATGCAGCCAGTTCAAGATCACACATAAGTCATACTTTCCAGGTGGATTTCGAGCTCGCTGTTTTGGCAGACCTAAGCATCTCATATAACAGTCCTGGATAAAAGAAATTACAGAATAAGAAATCATTTTGAATAGAAAATGGATGAAGTCTCATGAAAATCCAGAAAAAAAAAAGCTTAAGATCCTGGAACAAACATGAAAGTCAATGCCTCAAGGAGTTCTAGACAATCCGATGTTGTATAACATGACCTATGCAGTCCAAACTCTTCAGGGTAAACACTATCAAATCTTAGTTTGAACTTTTTCTCAAACATTTTGGGACTGTATGCATATCACTT